TTTGAAGGAGTGGGATTAGAAGCGACTACTTGCTCCATGGGATTCATGATCGAGAACACAATGGCTCCACCCAAGTGAATGCTCACGTTGAAAATTCCACCAAGACCATATGATGACTACCATTAAGGTTCTAATTGGATAGTGGGGAAACAAAACAAGATGATGGAAAGTCGGCACTTAAAATTTTTGAAGAGAGAATTAAACACGTGTGTGTGTGTGAAGATTCCACATAAAAAAATTAAAAGGCTTTTTTCCTTCTTCAGTAGAAATAGATGGTTTTAGTTGATAGGTTTGATTATAATTTGTATACAAGGTGAAAGCACAAAATCTTGACAGATTACATGTAATTCAGCTACATCACCCAGTTCCCCCACAAATGTATGTACATCAGATTCTGCCTTTATGACATGAAATGAATCCAAAGTTCATGAGCATTATATTGCATTTGTAAAATTTTCAGGGCTTATGTAGTTATCAATTGATAGTTTTATTCACTAGAGGCAACATTACTCTTTGGAGAAGTTTTGCCAATGAGCTAACCCCAAGAATAATAACGATCAAGTGAGTGTTAGTAAAATCTCAAAAAGGAAGTTTTCCATGAAGAAAAATTCCCCCCCCAAAAAAACCACAAGTGCTACAATGACTGGGGGTCTGCCCAATTTTCAGGTAAAGTTTTTTCAGAATTATTGAGCAGAAGAGTAAACAACCCTCTTCATGGACCCCACAAGGAAAAAGAGCATCATTTTAGTATCCATTTCCAAGTAACAAATTCAAGAAAATAGGAGTAAACATCTAAAAAGAGCAACTGTGGTAATACATAGACCATATGTTTCAACAGGCATGTCCAACAATGCTGCAAAAAACTATGTCATATGATAAAGTATTCCACAACTTTCCAGATTCTACAGGGTAAATTGAAGCTTTTGGCGTTAGTATGGTTCTAAAATATCGCAACTGGCATATATCCATAAAGGCTAAGGAGAATTGAGACAAAATAGAAGCAACCACCAGAATATCAGCATTTCAGCAATGGAGAACTATTGCAAAAAAGGAAAAGAGGAAATGGCACAGGCAGCTTCTACGTTCAGAGGTTGCTCTTCGAAAAACCTTGTATTTGTCTAGGCTAAGACGAATACCATTGAATTAATAATACAAGAATAGGATACTAACAATGATGAGCCCCAGAAATATGTCCACAACATCAGAACCAAGTGTTTGGAAACTTTTGTCAAGTCCTTTGAAGCTAGAAACGTGTGTCTGATCTGATACAAACACATTTCCAGTTAGTCAACAAGTGAAGCTATTTCCAATCAACTTGACCAACCCTAATTCACATCTAGAACCCAAAATACTGGATAGCTTAAACAAGAGTAGCCATCTGCCCACCAAGTTAAGCCTACATGGCTTTTGCTTACAGAGGGAAGAGGCTGCTAATTGCTGTGTTAAAAAAAGCATTTGTTATCTGTTTTCATATACTTTAACTTTACCAAATCCATATAGATTAGTGGGTACTCCAGAGACAGGTATCTCAGATTTGAACAGCCAAAAAAAATATTAATTATCTCGGATTTTATAAGAAGTCATCGTGATGTAGATCGTATTAGCTCTAATACCAAATTGATGTAGATCATAGTAAGGAAGAATTAGGGATGAGAAGGGAAGAAGAAGGGGATGAGAAAATAAGAAGAAAGGAATGAGAACAAAGAGAGAATTTGAGGAAGAAGGATAATAACTCCTAATCCCTACGTATGCGCCTACTATAACGAAATATAATCCGATTCCTATCACATCAACTTGCATCCTAACCTGCCTCATCAAGTAACAGAAAACGTTTATAGTTTGAATTTATACACCTTAAAGCGTCCTCAAATGTTGATTTCCAATTGTCTGCTTCACGGAACCAATGAGATATTTTAATATCATGTTCATCTTACTCGTGCAAAAAACAGTACAAAAGATAGGAATAACGTCAGGGCCATGAAAATGTTATAGCTTTCCTTTCCTTCCATGTCTCAAAGATGAACATTCTGAGCAATCACCTCATTCAAGTCTTAACCATGAAAGATAGGAATAATTTCAGGGCCTTGAAAATGTAATCTTAGTTTTGCCATACACCCTATACTTAAATACTCATCCATTCTAACTTTTCCCAGTGCAGATCAATGCATCAGAACCATGTAGTAAATCTAAAACTGCAGGACTGGTACTTATTCTGAATGTTTCTTATCAACTTGGTGTACTCAACAGGAAAAATGGGAGACTATTTTTGTTTCTTCTGCATATCTAGGAACGTAAATCTGGAAGATCAATTCAAGCAATTTGCTTAAGCAGCTCCACCTAATTGTCCTCCTTTCTGTAATATACCATATTCCAATCACGTTACCTTCATTCTCACCCTAATTTCCAGAGATGAAATAACTCAATGGTACCCAAACCAAAAGAGATCAATTCTTTCAGAAGGGCACACTATTAACTTAGTTTCCAAATTCCAGCCATCAACTAACATAAGGCCAGAATTGGGCTAGAAGAGGTCAGCCAGTGCATATAGCTTGAGGTAAATAAATTTTGAGAAGCCTGTCCATCAACTGGCAACATAAGCTCCATTGCCTAACTCAGATTAGCATCAATGCTATGGACATGTGTTGAGTTTTGACCATCTAAAAGAGGCAAAACACAGAGATTTATAAAGTTGTTGAAGACGATGAGCTGTTAGGTTTCATGTGGATAACTAACACTAGAAGTGTTACAGGAGGATAAAATAAAATCATCACCAGGAAGGAATTCTTTGAGGCATTATCCTTGAGAGACAATCTGAGTGATTTCATCCACAGTTGTGCCAAAACAAATGCCAATATTGAAAAGAACAAGACAAATTTTTGTTGACTCCAACCCCGAAAGATAACTCCATTGTGCACAAACACCAGGGATATGCACATATCACCATTCCAAGAATGCCACTGATCTTACCTCCAGCACCTAAAAGTAATAGCGGTAACCATCAACCAAACAAACCAGCCGTCTTATCAGCACTAGACAAGGTGGTTCATGATCTTGCAGTGATTTTTTTTTTTTTTTTGGTTAAGTATGTTCTCACAGTAACTTTAATATGTATGGGTTGAGACTTTCTTTGGACACAGGCAATTTTTTTTTCCTTCATTCTCTTAAGCCTAATTTCATCCAATTACAAATGAACTCCCTACAGTGGACTAAATGGTCCTAACTCCTAATTGACAAACCATCATCTGAGATATCCCATATGGTTATGAAGCCTTAAAACCAACCTCAAGAAACTTGATCAGGAGCATGTAGCAAGAATCACAAATACAGAGTTAGACATAGATTAACTAACTGTCTGATTTATAACCTCAAGGAAATGCACTCACATCATTCTATGCTAAAGTTGATTTAAAAAGTCTAATTCCTACCAGCTGGTTAAATTTGATGATCTATGGGGAACTTAGAATACAAGTTCCATACAAATATAAGGGTATCTCGTAAGACCAATGGACATGTCTGTGAAGATGTTTATTTAATATTTATTGACATAAGCAGAGTTGGACAAGTATAAGGGTATCTCGTAAGACCAATGGACATGTCTGTGAAGATGTTTATTTATTTACCTAAGCAGAGTTGCACTATATGTTATGAAGCCTTCAAACGAACCTCAAGAAACTTGATCAGGAGTATGTAGCGAGACTTGCAATTACAGAGTTAGACATACATTAACTAAATATCAGATTTATAACCTCAAAGGATGCACTTACATCATTCTGTGCTAAAGTTGATTTAAAAAGTCAAAGATGTGAATGCCTACCAGCTGTGAATTCGTGACCAGCTGGTTAAATTTGATGATTTATGGGCAATTTAGAAGACAAATTCCATACAAATATAACTGTATCTAGTAAGACCCATGGACATGTCTGTGAAGATGTTTGTTTATTAACTTAAGCAGAGTTGCACTTCCACATAATTTTACCATCTCATTCACATTGCTCAAGACTCTGAAATATATACATTACTACACTTTAATTCAGTACAGTCAGTAAAAGCACCAAGAATGAAGCTAGCAGCTTTAACAACACCATTTTAATCGTCCCATTTGATGGAAAAGACATCAAGTATTATATCATGCGATAGCAATTTTGGAAAGAGTTGAGATTTTGCAATCAATTGAGGCTGGAAACAGAAAACAGATTTGTATGTCCTTCACTAAACAATTGCACTTAAAAGGTGACTCCAAGTTAAGATTTTGTGATCAGTTGAAGCTGGAAACATGAAAGAGATTTGTATGCTCTGCACTTAAAAGGTGACTCATCTGATAATCTGCTTTCTTCATATATCTTTTTCAATGTAAGATATCCACTAAGTACCCAATAGCTAAAGGGAGAGTAGTGACTACAGCCAACGATGGTAAAATTATCAGCAGAAGATGGAGTTCTGTGCCACATTATTGTTTTAAGAACCAAGGATTTCGAACAATGGAATTTATTGATTCAATGGTAAAGTTAGATAATTTGTACCACAAAACTTTTAGAGAATATTAAGTTTCTCAGATGCGATGCTGATTTCTAACACCGTCATCAACACTACCACAATGCAGACATCGCCACCATTTTGTTTCCCATCAAGGAGACAAAAAGAAGAAAAATCATAAATCTAAAACTTGACCCTGGAACCTTTCTTATCTGATATTTCATTATCACAAACCAGCCAACCGATAAAGTTGTGAAGATTTCATGCCTTTTCTAGCAATTACAAAAATAATGTTGTGGAAAGATGATGATTAGAAGTACTAGAGCAAATAGACTGGGAAAGGCGATCAGATAAGCAAAAAAAAATTCAATATTGAAAACCAAAATTCAATCAAATGCAGAAACCAACATACCCTTCCATCAAGAGTCACAAGAGCTATCAACATTCATCATATATCATGAAAATAGAAATTTCTTATGACTACAAAAAAGCAACACTAACATTAAAGCAAAAAAGAATCTTGAGGATTACATACCAGCAATCCTCCTGGAGAACTCATCCCACCAATCAGCAGACCCCTTTTCAGAAGACCCAGAGGCTAAAGCTTTCTGCTCAACCATCTTCTCAGTCTTTCTTTTCTTTTTGTGCCCTCTTATAGGACCCATCAGCGCACACAGACCCAATTGAATTAAAACCCACAAACCCCACTCTTACTTCAAACAACTATAATCGAAGAACTTTGTTTTGAATTCATTTAAAAACAAATACCCATTTGAGATAACACATGACTGAACACCACCGATACAAAGAGATCATGAAGAAGAGCGACAAAAAAAAAAATGAAGGCATATGCGAATACACGGGAACAGTTGAAGTGTGTCAATGGTGCGTGCTTCTATGTGTTATGTGGTGTTTGAACATGCAAAATGAAGACTTGAGGAAAGAGAAGCGGAGGTACACTATGACTTGTGGGGAAGTCATGAGAAATTAGAGCAACTCATGGGGGTTAGTGTTTGTCTGAGACAATGTGGCTACACAAGATAGAGAGACATGGACAATGGTCAAGACTTGAAAACCTCTCTCTCTCTCTCTACATGTTTTTAGATTTCAGGGGCGAGAAACGGAGAGAAGTCAGCTTAAGATGCTTGCGTCAATTGTTTGGAGCTTCCTTTATTCCCCACATTAATATAAAATGAGCAATGTTATACAAACTTATTTAAGGACTTAATTTAAAATTTTAATGATGTAATTATTAAATTAGTTGTAAGTTTTAATGTTAAATAAAACTCACAACCACTCTAATAATTTTATTGAATTAGATCCTTAAATTAGGTTCTCAAATTAAATCCAAATAGTATCACCACTACCACTGTTGCCACTCCGCCACCACCACCACCACACTCATTGCCCCACCACTATTGCTGTCGCCACCCTACCACCACCACCACCTCTTCCACAACAACCATTGTTCCACCACTACTGCCACCACCAATACGGTCACTCTATCACTACCACCATACACACCCCCACTATCACCATCAATATCACCACCACCACCACCTTACCACCGTCATCTTCACCGTCCTACCACCACCACCCCCATCACCATCACCACCACCACCACCACAACTACCCCACAATTATCTTTATCACCATCGTTACTGCCTCATCCCCCACCGTCGTCACTACCACCATCATTGTCACCCACCACCGATTGCTACCATTATCGTCCAATGTCACCACTCACCATCATCGTCATCTTATTTTTATATTTATTACCATTACCACCATCATTCAATTACTACTGTCACCCACCATCAGCACCATTATTGCCCACCATCACCCCTATCACCACCCCCCTATTGTCCTACCATCACTATTACTGTTGCCACCATCCACGATCATCAACGTCTCCCAACACTATTACCACCGCTCGTCCCCACTACAATTAGTTCTTAATTTTTTTTTTCTATCTTTGTGATTTAATTTTAGGTGTGAATATAAATTTGTTTATTGTTGCTCATTTTTTATTGTTCCGTGCCTTCAAGTACGAGAAATAACTAGTTTTATTATATATTTTTTTTTATAACATTTGCATTAGTAATTACAAATAACTAAAAACAAAATCTATGGATAAGAATTATTTTTTTGGCATAATGTGAAATAAATAGATAAATAAATAAAATTCTACAATTTTTAACAACCTAATGGGCCCGGATGGACAACATATGTGATGGCTATCACTTACAAAGTTGGCATCAGACCGGGTCGGGCCAATCCACCCCACCAATCCACGGTATGTCCACTTGAAGGATTCGAATGTATTGTTAATTGATTATCGATTGTGGTTGTCTTACATGGCATTTAAAACTAGTCGTATTCAACTTCATATCTTATTATTTAAATTAAATTAATATACTTTATTTTACGTTTTTTTGGAATTTTTTAGGGTCGATAAGGTATAAGCCATGTAGCCAATGGCCCATTGGACTGTCGGGTGTCAACTCTGATTTGTTAATATGAATTTGACGCAAAAGATTATAAAATTGACACCATTATTAAATACGCATAATAAATAGTTTAGATTAATATTTAATACGCAGAACATACTAAGTAAAAAAAATTTTGTGGGTCTTAACACAATACGACACGAATAACAATAACACAACACGAAAAATAAACAACACACGAGTAACATGAACACGTGAACATGATAAGATTGACACCCCTACCTGCCAAGTACCCAAGCCAAGCAGGACCTTGAGGTGCAAATTAAATGTTGTTGCTCAACTTTCTAAGAGTTAGTTATCTTTATTTTTTAATAAACACGCTTTAAATGCGTTGGGATTATAGTGATTAGTTAGGCTCGAGCAAATAATCGATCCAAACTTGAACATCATATAGCAAAAAAAAAAAATCATTTCTTAAACTTATATATGTTCATGTCATAATTTTACTAGGATGAGTGGACAATGCGTTAGACATGTTATTCATAATACTAAACTAGGTAGCATAATAAGATGTTATCCGTCAATTCATGCGATAAGGATCATGCCTTAAGAGGAAGATACGATTGGATAATGATTTTCGAAAGTATTTTTATCTTCTAATCATAATCCCATTTTCCTTTCATGAATGTTAAATCTAAAAAGATTAATTAAGAGACGAAAAATCACAATTACCCCCCATATCCACTTTTCATCAAGGCTGATCTTCCAAGTGACAAGATTGGCTCGGTGCATAACTTGTTCTTTCATTATAAGAAATCGTAAAGAATAATGTAATTATGATCTAAAAATTTGACTTAATTTATCGACTAAATAATGTAATTTTATTATAATTATTGAATTAATATCGAATTCTAATGTTTGATGAGATTCATGAACAATCCAATGACTATAGTGAATACGGTCAATAAATTAAGTTTCAATACCATTGGTCAATTGTAAAATGTTAAAAAAATTTTAATTAACGAGTATTGTTACACAATCCAAATGAAATTGAAAAAATTATAATCCAAATGCATATCATCCATTGGATTATTGGGTCCCATCAATTTTTTTAACGGGACTCACTTATCTAATGAATGATATGCATTTGTGTTTTAATTTTTAAATTCTATTTAAATTATGTAGTGTTTTCCTTAGAGTAATGTTATTGGAATCCAAAAAATTAATATTTAAATTCATATTATTTCTCGGATGAGTGGGTCCCACTAAATTTTTTAGTGAGAACCATTCATGCAAGGAATGATATACATTTGTATTATAATTTTTGAATTTTATTTAAATTGTATAGTATTTTACTTAATTCACATCGTCCAAAGACGGGGTGGCATTGATGGCAAGAAACATGGTATGTAACTCGCGGTATTGGGCTTACTTGGTCTGCACAGAAGTGTTAAGTTTTTACCAACTTGGGCTCCGGCGGGCCTAATCACAAAGCCTGGAATCTGGATCGTGGGCTTTAACTTTGGATTACCTTCTTATAGACCCCCAACCCAAAATAATAAATATAACCCGAAAACACCAACATCCAACATTCAGGGAAAAAGAAAAATATCAAAATCCTCTTTTGTTATCAGTATGTAAATATTAAGAGACAATTTTGGAATTATTTATTTGTCGAATTTGGAACTTAAATTAGAATTATCTATAAATAGGAATTCATTTGAGTCCAACTAAAACTATTTGAGGGGATAAAATTTCTTTCTTTTACAAATTAAAAAGAAACCTAATTAGATTATGTTCATTTTTTTCAAATTAAAATCTGTTAAGCTTGAGCCAAAGCTCAAACTGCTCAGGATTGTTTTACGACTATATATATTCCTTACCATTCAGGGCCATCCAATTATTTCGTGAATTTGATATGCAACGATTGATGATTATTATAATAAAATTTTACAAACACGAGAGAAGAGTAGAAAATAACTTCCAAAGAGAGAGATGGAAAGGATTACAATACAGTTTTGAAAGAGAGGGATGCATAAAAAATCAATCTTTGCCTTTGTCAGATATTAACCCACTGATTTTTTGGTTAGGAGTGTCAATTGTGCCCAATTATTAGACTTAACTCATTGAATTATGTCGCGTATTTGATTACTATCCTTGTTATTTCTTATTAGATTGCTCTTATTATTTTTAGACAGCCTCACATTCTAGTATACATAGTGAATTTAATTGCTAAAATATGTATGGACGGACCTATAGGAAATACTATAGATCCCAAATTTGATAACTAAAATAAGGATTATTTGATGTGTGGATCCAATTAATTTTTTTTAATAAAACTTACTAATTCAATAATCTCTATTAATTTAATTTTTTTTTTTTTTTGGATACACCGGAATATAATTTAAAATTTAAAATGTTATTTGAGATCCCTATCTACATACCTTGACCCACCAAATATAACGGCACATTTCGTATTTTTTTTCTTATTGGGAATTATTGAGAAGCATAGCTGAGGGTTTGACTCTTGTAATGCATCGGATAACGATACAGCATTCATCAATTCTCATGCTAAGGTGAACACCATACTCTGATGCCTATTAGTCTGTGCTAGTCTGCTAGCAGTTGCTCTTGTTTAAAAGTCTTGTCATTGAAAATCTATACCCGGTAGTTGTCAGTGGTGGGTCTAATCAAACCCTTTAATTTTACGAAAAAAATAATTATATTCACTTAATTATCGAAACTTTTTTATATTTAAAATTTTACATACAAATCTTCTAAATTTATACGCATATAACACTTACATCCTTACGATCAATAACCGTTAATAAATTATATTCAGATCTCCTGAAATTTATGGGCGTATAATACTTAAACCCATCAAATTTAAAATATTATACTTAAACTAAAAATATTTCAATTAAAGATAAAATATTAAATATTTTAAATTTTACAACCAAAATTCATATTCTATTATGATATTTATTAATAAAATTAAAAAATCAAATAAGGGGTCCAATTATAATAGACACAATATATTCTAACTTTAATTGGGGTAATTTAATATTTTACTTTGGTCATTTAAACGATCAAATTAAATTTTAGTAAATAGTATAATTGTATACTAATTATAATTTTTTAAGAAAAAATTAGATTTTTATTTTTAATTTTATTCAATAAATGATATAATAAAATATGAATATTAGTTGTAAAATTCATGTTCTATTATAAATAAATTATCCACTATAACATGGCAAAAAAAAATTATGAATAACTTAGACCTCTTGTTTGATTTTTTAGTTTTATTCCAATAGATAGTATAATTGTATACTAATTAACATTTTTTAAGAAAAAAATTACTTTTTATTTTAATAAATAATACTATAGAACATGAATTTTAATTATAAAATTTAAAGTATTTGATATTCTATTTTTATTAGAATATTTTTGATCTAAATAAAATATTTTAATTTTGAAAAGTCTAAATATTATGCATCTACAAATTTCAAAAAATTTGAATGTAATTTACTAACATATGTATTAATAAACATTTGACAACAAAAGTCTGGGTGTTACGCGAGTAAAAACCTCAGAATGTCTGTATAATACTATAGTAATTCAAATGTTAGGAGATTTTAATAATAAAGTGACAAATTTGAGGGATCTAAGTGGATATTCTCCCTTACTTCTATGCTAATTAGTCTATGTTTAATGTTAGAAGTCTGATCACACTAAAGCTACAGTCAATGGTGGGCTCAATGAGCTCAGACTTCTAGATTTCCTATGAACTAAAGGCCAGCACGAGGCACAACAACAATAAAAAGAGGATTCTTTTTCCCATGTTACAAAGTCAAAACCTCTAGCTGTTCAATATAATTGAATAAACAATTGTGGGTTAGGGGCCAAAAATCAAAAAAGTTAGTGCAAATCAAGACACCTCAACTACCAAAGCACCGACTCTTAATGTAGAAAAATTTTCATGCAGGCACAAGCTCCAAAATGCTACAAGACAACTCTTTACAAGTTTCAACAAAAAGAGCTTTGTGAAAGCCCCCACAAGCCTTAACTTCAACCTATGTGCCGTGCCGTTCCGTGACAGGTAAGTCAAAACCACATAGGAGAGAGAAAAAAAAAACGATGCTTTAATAAGTACTTTGCATTATGATCTTCTAATGTAATGGTTGGGCCACTATTTATTTACTAAAGGGTTGACTATCAGCCCATCACTGGTGCGTCGTTACTGCTTTCCTTCATATTGGACTGGTTCTTTAGCTTTCTTGGAATGCATTTTGCTGATACTCCCTCTCTCTGTTTCACCTCCACTTCCAAATGTGAGCTCCTGCAGATTACAACAGTGTTTTATAATGAATAATTAAACCATTTAGAAGAACCATTTGATAAACAAAAGCTATCGTCGACCATTCTCCACGAAAAGAAAATAAATACGTAGATATTGCATACTATATGGTTAGTTTTATCGTAATGCCCTTCAACAGTGGTTCTATATTATACAAATCTAGAGCCTCTTCAATATATTTTTTCACACAATCGATTTTTTCATATTTATGATGGATGATGGAGCAAATATAAGTATTGAAAGGGCTAAAGCTTAAGTTATACATGGACCAAATGCCTCCCAATATGCTTTTCAATCAATTTTATTAAAGGCTAGATCCGTCACCATGAACTTAACTTGAATAAACTATTGATAAATTTCCCCCAATCTCAAACCTATGTGGCGGACGATTTACTTTAAAAGACAATTAATGTAGAAATTATTGGAGTGAATCCCTCCCTCTGGGCAGGCAGCTTCTCTTGGTTCTGGAAAGGCCATACCCAAATTGAATTCTCAACTGCAAAAGTCTGAAAGGAGAAAAATATTTTCTCTGAATAGGGTCACCGCCTAACACTCTGAAAATAAATTCTTCACAAGGTACAGAAATGGAAGGTCTGAACGTGTCCAAATGGACTGGACACTGTGAATTTATTATTGTGATCATTGACCACTTGGGCGGCAAACTGATTGTACGCCAATACTTTACTAGCTAGGTTGAAGATGAAAAAAGGTCTGAAAAGAAAAGGGTAGTGTAGCAAGCAAGGTGTTTTTTTGCCAAAATCTGGACGAAGCTAGATGTCAAATTATATCAAACCAAAAGCTACCGGAGAGTCAAAGTTTTCTGACTCCAAATCTTAAACAAGAAATTTCATATAAGAATAAATGTCTCAGTGGTTTGGCCTAATGATGTGTTAGCACCGACAATATTAGAGCTGTAAATGCAAAATTATTGAATGTTTATTATGTTCTATAAAAATGCTTTACTATATATAAGTGGTCACTTATTAATCTTCTAGGACACATGTAATCCTATCGTCACAGATTCATAACCTCTACTATCTACAATAAACTCCCAACCGACCGACGAACATTTCTATTCCTTTGAATGACTTTTTAGTCGTAATGTTGAACTATAGGAAACCCTCTAAGCTTCACCATTAATGACATTTGAGTATATTTAACATAATCAACTATAATCTAGCAAAATCTAATTAAATCTTCTTGCAGAAAGAGACCAGACTGCATAAATTCAGTATTCTAGTGTACATAAAATCAGCTATGGCCAATTTAAAGTAAAACTAGGAACATTACAACTTCATTAAAAGATTAGAATGGCCAAGTGGTAACATGAGAACAAACAAAAACACAACACTGTCCATGTGAAACCAACTGTATGCATGTCAGACACCTGGAGCTAAATGGAACTGTTAGTGTGTGAGGGTAACTACAACAGCTAAGAAACAAAGACCTATATCAAAATCAAAGTAGTATTTACTAAAACTATTACTTACCGATCTGCATTGTAAGAGGAAGATCTCTTTAAAGCTGGAAATTCGTCCTTCCTTGTCTCTATTATTAAGCTCCCACTAAAGTACTCCTTATCCTCCAGTTCTACTCTAGTGTTGTGCACCAGAGCACACTCTACGTCCTTTCCCACCTGATTCGACCTCCCTCCACGTGGCAATCTGGATTTATAGTACGAAATCAAGGAGAATCCCTGGCCATCTTTACCATTGCCTGGCCCACAGTCCTTAAACGATACAGAACCGCAGGATATCAACTGCATTAAAACGGAACTCGCCTTGAGCCTTCCATTTGGATGATTATTAGCCGTCGGATCATCGGTGTCTGACGGTATGATCAGTCTGCCGTCCGCTTTCATTAGCGTTTCCAGGGTTTCGGGGCTTGAATCGGACGGTGGTGGAGAGATCTCGTCTCTATTGAGTTCTGTACTGTGATTCTGATACGGTTCCTTATTTTTGTCTTCGATCTCTTCTTCTTCTTCGACTTCTCTGATTGGTCTGCGACGACGTCGTTTATCGTCTGTTTGAGTCGATGCGTCGGCGGCAGCTCTTCCCGCAGACTCTCCGGTGGACTCGGCCTTGTAGACTTTGTACTCATGGAGGTCGATTGCACTCCAGGACTGGTTTCTCCTCCGTCTGGCCAGCACCGGAAAATCGAAGTCATCTGGTGATTTTGTATTCTCCGGAAGTTCTTTTTTCTTGCTGGAAGATACAGTTTCATCGGATTTTGAGATCAATGGAGTTTCCAGAAGCTCGGATCCTTTAAGAACGTACTCTTGGCCGTGCGCTGGGTATATGAAATCGTTGTCGGCTAAATCGTGCCAGACGAATCCGTTTTTATAGCTCCTGAATCAAGCTTCATATCAGCAACAAAGGCTTGTATGTGTGTGTGTGTGTGTGAAATTAGATGAAGTTAATTGTACCGTTTGGAAGACCAGGAATACATGCTAGCCATGCCTTTTCCACGAAGGAAATTCAAGCGGTTGATCACATCTGAAGAAGAGAAGAAATCAACAAAGGCATAAACTACACTAGAAATTAACTGAGTTGTTACTATAAATCTCTGTTTGGTTGCTGAAAATTGCAACAAGAAATATCTTGTTGTTTTGTTTTACCTCTGAGATAGAGACCTTCGGGGGAAGAGAGAGGGACCTCCATAAAATGAGGGTGTTCGAGCTGGCCGTTTCTAGAGAGGTAGTAAACGACGGGGACCTTTCGCTCGACCTTTAGTTTGTTATTGGGAGGTTCCGTCCAGACTATGTTGCGTTCAGGGCTGGTTTCTCTCTCTTTCCATTTCTTCGGCATTTGGAGATCTGACGTCCGTCCTGATCTGGAAGTCACCGCCATTGTCCTGCTTAAACAGAGAAAAAGCTTTCAACACATATATTCCTGTGAAGATATGAAGATATTACGGAATGTTTATAGATCAGAGGCGAGCCAGGAATGCTTACCGAGGCGGAAAACTTGAGTTGTGGGAGTTTGCAGAGGTTGTGGAGAGAATGGGGGAGTCACGTTTATAAGGTGAGGCCGTGAGGAAGGGCCAGGAGGGGTTTGTTTGTTTGTTAGTACGTACTACGTAGAGAAGGAAAGTGTGAACTGGAGAGAGTTGGTGTGGACGCAAGGGGAGAGAGAGAGAGAGGGAGCGAAAATTCAAAATTGGATGCAGCAAACAACAACTAACAAACAAAAAAATAAAGTTGTCTACGCTTCGGTAATTCTTTGGCAGTGTTTACGAGTTGGATTTTGCACAATATAAATATGAAAATAAATCTTTCTCTTGGTAAATTTGAGTGAGTCAGTCGAATGATCAACCCTGTTACTTGAAACAGCCTGTGAGATCCGATGATAACCTGAAACGGTAATGAGAGACTCTCGTGGATCAACGGGACGGTCCAGTGAAGTTAAGGAAGATTCCTAGAACAAAGAAAGACAAGTTAGAAGGGCGCCGGAGTATTTTTCGGTATATCCCCTCCGACGATCAAGTTAGTTTTTGAGAAAGAGGAAGAAGAAAACATTGAGTATGTATTGTAGCAAAGGTTTTTTGTTGTATACCGTCTTGCCTTTTGCGAGGAGTATTTATACCTCAAAAACTCATGATTGCTGTCAGTGTAGTCAATAGGTGATCATTAGGTACAAGCAACGTGTGCACTGATTCCTACGAGGAATGTCTTCTCTTTTAACTGCTCGAGATCAATGCTGTGTCATCGAGCTGCTGACTGTTCAATGAGCTCCTCTCGGGGAGGATGTAACAAATGTCCAGCCTTACAGACATTTATTGCCTTTCACTTCCGAGCCTTACCGCGTTGAATATAGTCTCATCAAGGAAATGATGTAATTAAATACTTGTTTTCCCAAGTCGTGTGTAAGCAAGGGCATTCAGTATTTATGTCTTTGATGTGACACAATATGCCACACGTCCATTACCCAATGGCTGTGGCCTCTGCCTTCCTGTGCCTTCTGACACCAATTGTGTAAGACGAGGTCATAATAGCTAACCTAGCCTAGCCTAGGTTAGTGACCTGTACATCAATAGCCTCTATAAGAGCAGAGAGCGCCACCCTGGACGGAGGTACATCTTGGATCCGAAGGAGAAGTTCATCTCGAAGCCGAGGGGAAGTGCATATAGCGAACGATGTACCCATATCAAACCGAAGGATACTTGTCGGTTCGTAAACGTACTGGATGCCACTTGATCCCTATGACAAAGTACCTCGGGGGAGAGGGACTTGTGAACTGATGGGTACGTAATCTCAATAACAGGATTTAGTGACACCGATGACACGTGTCTTCATCTTGAATTATTTCAAAAATGTCCCATCATTTACTACTAGTCTCCAACTACCTAATTTAGCTGCATTGGAGGAACTACATGACCAAGGGGCATGGCCCTCACATTTTCAAAATTATCTTATTTTTATTTTCTAAGAATTTTATGTGCCTTTGTAGGTTTTAAATATTTTTTTATAAAAAATATTCAATAAATATATTTGAAAGGCATAATAACATGATATTAAATGAAAAATATTGTTCAAATGGAGGAGTGAATTCTTATTATAGAAATTTTTTGCTTGGCCAAATTTGATGACTAACAGAAAAAAGAAGCAAATGTGCAACGTGATTTTATATCATCAATAATTCACTAACTTATAATAAACATTTATAATGACATCTTATGAATAAAAGAGGGAATGAGTGGTCCTTGAAATTGTTATAAATTAAATTTTTTAATAATAAGAAGTAATAAATAGTTTTTAGATTTTACAAACTAGTTTTTTGTGATACTATCATAGGGTGATAGAGCCTTCATAATTAAACATATAATACTAATATTAATTTGTCCGAAGAACTCATTTTATTAAATTCTTAATTGTGCCATTACTTTTATTTGGCACCCCCTCATGATAAATTTTTTGGTTTCATCCCGATAATTCAGCGTCGTCTTCTTTTTTAAGTTAATGCGTATTGCTTACAATTTCCTTTAAATGAATTGTGGATTACTTTTATTTGAAAGAACATAGTTGGGTTTTGTTGAGATTTATTTTAGATAATGTCCAAGATAATCTATCTAATATTACACCTACAAAGTTGAATTCTCAATTTATAAAAATATAATAATGGTAAAGATTGATATAATTTTTATCTACTTTGATTTAATAGTATAAAATTCATCCCAAAAATTTTTTTCGAGTCAAAAATATTATATTATTTGCACAACCCTTAATATTAGATAACTCCGCTCAATTCTCTATCATTTAGAAAATTTGTTTTATCATTGCATGATTTTAATTTGAAGATAGGCCTAATTTTAATGTTAGATAGAACTAACTTTTAATACTTTTATAATTAATTACATCATCAAATTAATTTCTCAAATTCAATACATATAACATTATTGTAATTATAATGATGAGCAAATAATCAACCTAGCTAATAAGGTGAAGCGCATTTAGAGAGAGAGAAATGCTATTGAGACCTAATTTGTTGATCTAATTCACTATGATATTTGAATTTACTGTAGTCTCCATTAAACATTGAAATTTGGTGTTTATCTAATGATTTAAATGAAGTCACGTCATTAGATCAACAAATTATACCAAAATTTTAAGTTTAAATAACATTTTCCTTAGAGAAAATATTCATTATAATTGTCTCTTCCACAAGACACCATCGCACACCCGTGATGAGGTATGGCAAGTGTATTTCTTTTCATTGAATAACGTTTTATCCTCCTTCAAAGCTACTCTACTTCCTTTGCAAACATGTTTTAGGCTACTTCAAATTATGGTGATTAGTAGTTAAATTCGTAGAAATAATTGGTACAAGTTTAAATACTCTATAATAATATTAAAAAAAAAAAAAAACTCCTATCAAACAGAACTTGTTAAATGTTGCTTCTTTTCGTTGGTGTGTGACATTCTTTCTCTCTCTCTCACACACACACACACCCATGTCCAATCATATGTGATCTCTCCACTAAAAAAAGCATAAGCAAATTAACATTGGATTTTGAGCTATTTTTTAAGTTGGTTGAGCTGTGATCTTAGATAAATAAAAATATACAATAATTAAGTGATTTGTCCTATTGAAAAGTAAAATTAATCAATTGTAAGAGACACTTGCTATATTACTTGAGTAAGATGATGATCACAATAGGATTTTTTCTTTTTCTTAGGACATTGTGTATCGACTTACCTTTTATACATAGTAATAATTTCTTTTATAATAGTATTGTTAAAAAATATTTGGTCGTTATAATTTTTTTTTTCGAGACATAAATCTCAGAAAGTGATGACGTGATTTTGTAAAAATAATAACCTCTTGTCCAAGGTAAAATTTGCAGGTGAAAGTTCTTTTTTTTTTTTAACTCCTTCTAGTAGCTTTTATGTAGAGCTTTTGGGGGCTTGTTTGGATAAATTTTAGGGAGAGATTTAGATTAACTTTTCCAAACCCTTTTATATTGTGTTTGGTTGGAAGAATAGTTGGATGGATAGAAAATAGTGGATGGAAAATGGAATGGATGGAAAGGCTTTCCATTGTTTGGTATCAAAGGAAATAATGATGGAAAAGAAAATTAGAGGGATAACTTTTCTCTTCTGTCCACAATTTGCTGTCCCCCAAAAAATGGGAGGAAAATGAGAGGAAGGCAGGACAATTTGACCTTTTAAGGATTATTTTACTTTTTTACCCTTTGCTATTAATTACTTAGAAATTAATATAAGGATAAAATTGTAAATTGAGCATGCATATTTTTTCTTTTCTTTCATTTTTTATCCAATACCAAACGATGGAATTACACCTTTCTTACTTTCTATTCCTCCTACAAAACAAAAAAGAGAAAAAATAATTTTCTTTCCTTCAAAGATGAAAAGTTTATCCTTTCCACATTTCATTCTTTTCTACTTTCCATTTTTTATACTAAACGAACCATTAAACTCAAACCATTTTTTACAAAGATGAGATTTAACATTAAATTTGGTTCATACCCATGTTTGGTATGCAACACATCTATATAATAAAAATATAAGTGTGTTTAAATTTTATCTCAGTCATATTTTTCCTCTCAAAACCATCACCAATCACTTATCTCACCCATCATCCCTTTGTCAGATTCAAACATCAAATCGCATTATTTATTTCTATTATATGTTTGATCATTTATATATTTATTCCCTAAAAATATCACATCACTCATTTCTATCATATATTTAATTATTTAATATTTGATTAATTTGTAGTTAATATATTTTTTTAAAAAATTAATATAATGAGATTGATTTTTTGGACGTTCGAATTTTATATTTTATATTGTCTTCAGACACGAGTTATGACTAGTATATATATATTTGTCTTGTATGACTAAAAATATATCATAATTGTTAATAACTATTTATCTTGTAAATGTCTATTTTACTCTTAATCAATTCAATTCATACTTATGTTAAAATGTACAATTGTCTTTTGGATTTTTAACCCTTTACCCATCTTTCCAAATTCACATTCTCTTAAATTTGACGAAACACATGATCATGAGTTTAACTTTTTGGTCAAATACGAGTCAAATTTGTAAATCAAGAACTAAATTTTTTATACAAACATAAAATTTAAAATTATTTAAAATTATTTTTTTCAAATCTATCTTGTCAAACCTCCCGTACCCATTACCAAATTGGAGTCCTATCCACCCAGACTCTTTTCGGTCAATTTGATATGTGATGATCAGGACAGTCAACGTGTCTGTCCCATTATTCCAATTGGTATTTTCTTTTGACATCATCAATAATTATACGTTTCGATACGTGATTATAATATCACCCTAATTATATGATTGTAAGATCTTAGAAATTATAATTGGAGTTTTAAGGGATTTGAAGATGAAATTGAGAAATTGGGACCGTAGCCTTTTGGTGTAATTTGCGTTCCTACGTAGTTCTTTTGCATTTCAAATGGGGTCTACATACATACTGCTTAAATTCGACTCCGTCCGATGAGTTGACTTTTTTGAC